GGTTTAAGGGTGTCTGAAGTTAGTTTTAATCAAACATTATCTACCTAGTGTTGCTATCTCCCATAAAACGATACCGTATGACCAAACATCGCTCTTGCTTGTATACACGCCGTCTAATATAGACTCTGGTGCCATCCAACGTACGGGTAAACGTCCCTGAAAAAACATCAATTAGATCTCATTTTTCATTGACCAACATTAATTTAGTTATGCAATATCAGCAGCAAAGTAGTAATGTTGCTTACCTGAGTCCTTCTCTCATATTCACGTTGATCCAGGACATCAGTTGCCAATCCAAATCCAGATAATTTGCATACTAGCTTGTCATTCAATAATACATTGCGAGCAGCCAAATCCCGGTGAACACACTAGATGCGACAAAACTGAGATATTAAGAGCCAAAATATAATAATATATGAACAAATATGATTATAACTCCTAATCACTTTTGTATTTAAACTATTTAAACTTACACCTTTTTCTTCAATGAATTCCATTGCTAGAGATATCTGATGTGAAAAACCAACACAATTATGTTGAGATAATGTGGGCACACGTTCTCCCAGATTGGCATATGTATTTTCTATATTTGTTTTTCGTTCACGAAGATAAGTTTGGAGGTTACCAAAAACCAAATATTCCAGGACAATGAATATAGGACCTGATAGGAGAATAAAATGACATAAATGTTTACATCAATGTTAGATTGAAAAAATATTAGGAAAATAACATATGATGTGAATTATTAACATATACAGCAATAGAAAGAGAAAGTGTATACCATCGTGTGTACAACATCCAATCAACGTCACAACTTGTTTATGTGATGTTATTGATTTAAGCAACTCCAACTCCCTCAATAGTGAACTATAATACTCATCAGTAAGCCCATCTGCAATATAATGGAAACATTATTTTAACAACATTCATCCTATTATTATTGAAACAATAACTTTGTCCGTATTTCAAAATTTTATAAAAATAACACCAAGATGGCTGGAAAAGTGTTCAAACGAAAAAAAACAACTTCCTGTTATTTGCCAAATATATAACACATTGCTCTGTGTGTGTTCAGTTGATACCGCGTTTTGGCTCCATATGACATCCAATATAAAATACAAAAGTTATAAAACTGTTTATGTCCTACAACTGCTGTAGTATATATGTAGTATATACGGTGGCAGAGTATACTTAATGTCATATAATACTTACTATTTAACATTTTTACAGCTACAGTTAAGTGTCCATTTACTGATTGATTACTCGTTGTCGACGCTTTCACTACTTTTCCAAATGACCCTTCTGCAATGGTTTTTCCAAGACGAATAGCGTCTCTAGGAATTTCCCATGGTACCTCACCATGTTTCATGTACACGTGATCGTGATTCACAGTCATGCGCAGATCCTCATATTCAGTAGAATGCGAAGGATTCTGAAAATCAGGTTAATGTTTGGAAAATGAGATATATGAGGCAATATTTGATAGCCT